TTGTCGGAGTTATCCAGCTAGGTCCTTCGATCGACCTTCACATGGGCCATTGCATAAAAGTCAAGGACTTTGTAAAATTATCGTATGATATTGCATTTTCACGTTGAAAATTGGTATAGAAAAAACAACCTAACCTTTTTCAGTCACTCATGCATATAATTGCGAACTACAGTAGTACGTACAAGTCACTGCCCTCTTTTTCGATCGTTCTTTTTTTTCTTCTTTTGGTGTTTTTTGTGTGTGAAGTTAAGTAGACTTGCAGCTTCATCAGTAAGCTAAGCAGGAATATTAATTGTGTTATTTCATACGGAGTATGTGATAGATCATAGATGCATCATGCATCAATAATGCATGTAGAGTAATGTTGCAATAAAGGTTTCAAATGTACCATACATGTTAAAGTAATGCATGAGAAATTAATCAATAATTGTTGAAGAATAAAACCTCTCAAGTGTCAGTGTGTCACTACATGTAAGTGTCCCACATTGGTTGAAGAAGAACGAATTAAACACTTTATAAGGCTAAGGGGCTACTCCTCCTATTGCCATATGATTTTGGGATGGAACCTCCGATCCACGGACTTGTGAAGTGGACTCTCTCTCTTGATTTGTGGGTGCGGCCCAGACCCGCTCTTAATAATAATCGATGGAGTTGTACTCACTCTGGTCTTTTTTATTTGATCTATTTGACTATTTTGCGTAATTTTTCATGTCCATACACATGCATTAATGTATAATTCAGCTATGTGCTTCGCCTTTAAAAGATTGTCTCAAAATTCCAACCAATAACCTCCCTTTTTTAATAAACAAACCAATTATTAATACGCACATAAATAGATTCAAAAAATTAGTGTAGAAAATTCACCGAGTAAAATATGGAGTAACAATCTTTTAGAGACAACGGCCATGTTTGGTAATTGGCTTTTTAATGGCTTTTTGATTAGCTTTTGGCTTTTGGCTTTTTAAGGTGGTCAAATGGTCAAAAAATGTGTTTGGTAATTGGCTTTTTAGTCAGCGAAAAAGCTGGCTTTTAAGCCAAAATGAAAAAGCTGCTTTGAGTAGCTTTTTTGTTGCCTTTTGGCTTGTTGGCTCACAAATTATCTAATAAACAGCCAAAACCACCAATTAATTTACCAAACACTTTTGTAAACAGCCAACTTAAACAGCCAATTTTAAAAGCCATTATAAACAGCCAAACATTCCAGCTGATCAAACAAGCCAAGTGAACCAGCTAACAACCAACCGCCAACAGCTATTTGCCAAACAAGGCCAACAAGTGTAAACAATATTGACCTGTTTCCAAAATGAGAGACAGTAACAGTACATATTGGCATATTGTGCATTCATTCATTGCATTCTTAATAAATTTCAAGCTTTGAAGGTTCAACTAAACTACAGTACGGTTTAGCTATTTACCACTATCTAGTTTTTTGACGGGTACCACTATCTAGTTTGTTGGTTTTTAATTTGTTTCTTTGTCTCTTCCATATGTACGGAGCACTACAACTTGTTAATCTCTTTTGAATTCACAATTTATATACCCTGATTTCAAGTATAATTCGATTATTATCCATTTATTAATTTGGTAAATAGTTCTATTTTGACATTATGGAAAATTTTATGACAAAATTCTTACAGTAAAACAAAATCACAAGCCGAATATATTATGATAAGATGATAAACGAGTCATTCTACCTTAATTTTTAAGGTTTCGTGTTCGATACTTATAAACGTTAACTATACAACTCTTTATAGTATATGCATGCATTCTTAATTGGTGTTGTAAATGTAATATATGAAATTCTGCTTATGGCATCTAAAAACCATATAACATGTTACATCTATCCACTTTAAGCCTAAAGAACTTTATTTAAAAAGTCAAAAACACGCTATATCATATAAAATAAAACACTATACAATATTAAAATAAAACACGAGGATCTGACCATATCATGGACATAACTTTTGGCCTGGTTAACAATTTGGTCCACTGACAATTATGAACATGGACCATTGCTTACAACTTAAAAGTGGAGACTCTCTTATTAAAGTTGCTAAAATTAGCAAATTAAAACACCAACAAATGATCAAACCACTCAAAAAGACTCATATAATTTCGATTTAGTAAGTCTTCTTCTTTTATGCGTTGACTCACTTGACTGCCTTTAAAACCTTTAAATGGCGGTAATCAAGAGTAGATTATTGCAGCTTCATCAGTCAAAAGCTAGCTAGTAGCCTAGGATGTACTGATGTAGGATGATTATTAGTATCACAGCTCAAATTAATAAAAGTTTTTGTCTTTTTTAGTAGTGTCACATACAATTCATAAATTATGTTGTTCACACTTTCCTTTTAAATCCGTTTCATAAAATTTTGACACTATATTGGATTATTTATTGTATCGTTAATCTATAACGTTATGTTTCAAGATTATTAATTTGTACTACTATTCTTTTTTAACCAGATAGAGAGCTGTGTTAGCTATGTGTATGATCAACTAAAGTGTATATGCTATATAACAAGGACAATGCATGGGTTGTTTCAATCCATCACATGCCGCGACCTTTAGGCCACCGTAGGCAACAACAGTCGTGCGTGCAGTGCCATGCCAGCCATCCGAGGGGCTAGTCCCAGAGCACATCGCAGCCTAGCTGCATGACTTGGTTGTTCCAACTATATATATATATTGATCAAGTCAACTATATATATGTATGAGTTTCAACCAAAAAAAGTATATATATATTGATCAAGAACATTAGTCAAAGATAACTTTTTATAAAAGAAAGACATTCATGATTTGTTATCGATGAAAATAAACGTCGCTCATGTTATATGATACGTAAAGCTAACTGTTGTAATGAACTTAAATATGTCAAATTGTCAATTTATTAATTAAAGTTGTACAAGATTAATAAGTCTTGACTTGTGAATGAATTTGAGATTGTCGACACATTACGTTCCACGCACGAGGTATTCATGAGTAATTTTGTCATACCCGGCCCGTCTTATTCTATTGTCATCCATGTCTTGCTTCTACCTACAAAGTTACAAGGTTAAACATTTTCTTCAAAACACGTGAATTGCTCTAATATGAGGGGAATAACAAGGTGGGGAAATAATGTACATTTTCTTAGCATTCACAAATCATTTTCATGCACGAGAAATAGTACTCGAGTACTCAATTTTACATGTAAAATTATAGAGCAATTAAATGAGAAATACATGCATTATATACGCAGTTGCTTACTAAATTAGGGTACATAAATTAATCACCAATTCACCATTTATTAAATTTGGCATTAATGAATATTGTTGAATCATTTCACAAAATTAATTAATTTCACCTAACTAAACTAGCTGACTTGTCCTTTTCTACCAAACATATGTACTCCATTACTCTGTAGTACTTACATTAATCAATTCTTTGCTAGGGTTTTCACGTGGATATTAATTAACGCAAATTATAAAGAAAATTTAAGGTATATTATTGATAGATATAATAATTCAATATTTTAAATTTATTACTTCGATCTGCAAAGTAAATTTTGCAATAAAATCTTGCTTTTATTTTGTAATAAATTGCAATACTATTAGAATATGCTTTTTGTATAGGGTAATAGGGATGAAATTATTTTTGCAACTACTCCAACAATATATATCAATTCAAATAAATTTTAATCATGACTTAATAAGTTAATAGTGCAAATTGTTTTTGAATTTCTAAATATATTGGTGATTTTGTAAATATAATTTAAAAAGCAACATTTCCCACCCTTAAAGTGTCTTTAGTGGGGATTGAACCTCCGGCGACAATCTTACCACTAGACCAAGCTTAGCTTGGTACAATAAGTACACAAGTATTTGTTTTTTTTAAAAGGTAAGGAGAAAGAACCTAACCGAGTATACAAGTATGTACTTGATACAATTTCTTACATGATCTAAATGTAAGTATTTATATATTTTTTTGTATAAAATGCAAAGTTTATGTATTTTTGGTCATTTTTTTGGTATTAATTTTTTTTGTTTAGAAAAACACAATTATTGGTATTCAAAAATTTCTTGTGTGGTCAACCACCATAGGGGTTACTTTGTTAGTGCTATAGGGTTACTTGAATAGTATTACATGAATTACTTCATCGGTGTTACAGGAATTATTCAAACAGTGTTATAGGAATTACTCGGTTAGTATTACACGGGTTAGTCGATCAATGTTATAAGCTCATATACGATTGAGTGTATCCGATATTAAAAAGAGTAGCTTTATATGGGACTTTCAAAGTTACAACAACCATCCAAAAAAACAATCAAAATGTGCTAAGAAATTGAAGATGGTTATACTGGATATATTAACTATTAACTTCCTTTGTTGTTAATGTTGTTATGGACCATGAGAATCTTCAATAACTTTGGATCATAAATTCATAATAATGTAATTTTGCAGCATATTTGTGGGCCAAAGAAAATCGAAGGGAGGAACCAACATTTATTCTACAGATAAATATACATAAGGAAGCATATATTAACAAGCTGCTTGCATTGGTATTCAGCCATGAATAATTGTCACAAGAATTATTTAAACTATAATTCGACAAGCAAAGTAACATCCAACATTCATAGTGTAGCAAGTTGACTAGATGAGATGCTAGGGGTTGTTTTGAGTTTGTATCTCTTGCTCCGTTCCCTCAAAGTCTAATCACTTTGGCGGATTTTGATCTATTATAATGAAATTCGCAGCTTGTTTGTATCTCATCTCGAAACCTAGTACGAAACAAATTGAGATAATTTGGGGTTATTTAGCTTTATAGGGGAATAATATTTATCATACAAAACTAACAGTATACAAATTTATTAGTATTTCAGTGTAAATTGAACGGGCACCATTGCACTGAATATACAATATGAGAGACCAAAAGCCCACAATACTGTGAGTCTGATTACAAGCCCAATCCATTCATTGTCAGAGTTTTAGCTAGTACACTACATTTACTCGTAGTCTCGTATGATCAAAGCTCCATATACTGTGATGTGGATGTGGCGAAGTGGCAAACGGGTTGTTCGGATACTTTGGATACAGACGACAAGTTGTTTTGGTTGGCCACTTTGGTTCATATAGTCATGTCTTATTGGGTCATGTATATAGTAAATTTCAGTTCGGGAAAAAACGAGTCATCCAATTTCGAGCACAGTTGAGGATCTAGGATGGATCAGTTTTATCAATATCAAGTAATTACTGTAGGTAATAAGATGCAGCAATACACCAACTTCTAACCTTCTGTTTACCTTCTCTTTGCATGAGGTATTTCTTCGCCTTCTCTGAGATAAATTACAAAATGCCTCAGAAAGAAGCAGTAATGCAGTATGATGCTCAAAATTGTGATGCATATATGGCAAATACCTTTCATTGTCAAGGAAGTAGGTTAAGAGGCTGTCTAACTGTCTGAGCAACACCGAAATGATTTACAGGATTAAAAAAAAAAAAATCACAAACTAAAAAAGGAAATCTTAATATACTCTCAGACTGATTTTCTTGAGTTTCAACAGCGGTAGTCAGCGTTAAACCTTAGGTGTTTTATGAGAAGGGAGGTGAGCTGCCTCTGGAACAGCGCGATATATTGAGACATCAAAGATAACTGGCTCATCCTTTTGGCTTACCAGTTTAAACAAGCAGACATCAGATTCTTGCAACAAGTTATCCACAGCGAACGTGGACCACCCAGAAATAAAAACCCCGCCTCCATACCGTGGCTCAGCATTAAACCTCACAATCCATTTTTTGCCATTTGCACGGAGCTCCATATCTTGGTGCTTCCGAGTAAGGTAACTCCTTGACCATGGTGCAGGAACACCCTGCATCCGGAATCAGTATTAAGTAGACAAATCTAGTCAGCAAGAGCCATTACATTTGTTTCTAAACACATCACAATTCATAACTAAAAAGAAGATCCAAAATCGCATATTGGGTTTCACATTTTCACTACAGCAATGATCACAACCTAAAACCAATCCCAAATTTTAGTTCACAAATGGACCCCTGAGGAGTATTTGACAAGTAGGCATTTTGACGGGCTATTTTACTTTTGGCACTTTCAGTATAAAATCAACAGAGTAGCAAATTTACGAGGAAGAAAATAGTCAATTAAAGAGTACCTTGTGAGTGTTTAAAATATAGGGGGTATCTTATGGATTACATCAAAGTACCAGATTACATGGAGTAGTTTACCCTTAATTCAACCAAAGGAATTATACAACTCACTCCTGCCTAGAGATTAAGGCATTGTTCTTCTAAAATAGAGAGAGGCAATCTTTTATAAGACTGATACATAACAAAATAAGCACAGTGATACAGATGATTTGTCGAGGAAATTAGCCTTAAAGCCCCATATTTTGGCAGATTTGCCTAAAGCAACGCTTGTTTTGGATTCCACCAAAGTAATCCCTAATTGAGGCATACTTTGACAGTAATTTCAGGTAAACTGGTCGTGGTATGAGGCTTACATCATCTCTTATTGTTAAACAACAATGGAGATATAATCAAAGGCCATTTTTGCTCATATTAACATAATTGGCAGGAAACAGAAAGAGTTATCAGAGAAAGCTTACCAAGCGATAGTACTGGGAAACATTACAATCTTTCAAGACAACAATGAAGCTTTTGACTGTCAAATCTCGGTTCGCCATTTGCAGTGCTCTCTCTTTATCTGCTTCACTCGGGGGTACTCTATCTAGTGTGTCATCTGTACTACGGTTCTTTTCTTCAGCACCACTATTCCTTAAACCACACCCAGTAGAGTTCCTACGATTCTTCCTCCTTGAGGCTCTTTCAGTGTCCAAATCTTCAAGCTCTGAATTGTCCTTATTTCCTGTAGCCTTGGCAGAACCCTCCGCTGTATTTTTTCTTTTTAACTTAGAATTTTCACCTGCATCATTTTTTCCGAGAGCAGATTTCTTGACAAAATATGATCCAGCTATCTCACACAAGTTCCGTCCACTCAACATCCAAACCTTAAAGCAGGAATCACGGGTGTACTTGAACATGAGCAAGTCATTTTCTTTGAAGTTATGAGCTTTTGCAAACTCTTTCCATCCATCTTTGAAAAAAAGGGTGTTGTTATCATCCCTCACAAGTTGTACCTCCCATGTAGAGCCCCCGGGGCTTTTGAGGACCACCATTTGTGGTAATTCATTCCACATGTTTTTAGAAAATTCTTTCGGTATCATCTGATAATACATAGGAACAAATGACATTCAAAATCCACTTCAGGGAAAGCAAACGGATTTCAGAAATTCAACCACAAATGTTTTGATTTATACATTTCAATCCCATGCTTCTCGCAACATGACTAATTGTCAACAATTGAGAAAATATACAGTAATTACACAATCAGGTTAAGCAAGCATGTAACTCTGATTACAAATGCATTGAGACATGTACACACTTCTCAAAAGTGCAGTGCAGCAACAAAAAAATGCCACCAATAAATGTTCAAGCAAATAAAAAAAATTTGAAGTCTATTACAAGAAAATTTATCACAAAGGCCATTCTTGACAGTCATACGAAGTTATGAAACCACAAGGAATTACTGCTCAAATTTCGTTACAGTAGGTACAACTTGTGAAAGATGATAACAATACCCTTTTTTTCAAAGGGCTTTTCATCATAACTTTCCATTACCACTCAATTCCACCTCTCAAAGTAGTAATGGATGGTAATGAAAGTTTCCGAAGAAAATGAAGTACTCACATTATCATGGATAATGACATAAGATTTTCTTCACATATTTACAAACAAACTACCATTACTGTGATTTGTGACCACTTTTCAAACAAGATGTTAAGAGTCATACCGCAATAATCCAAATAGCAAGAAGAACTCTAAGCTCTCCAAATTTTAAGAATATGAATTGGCAAAAGTTATCTAAACACCTATGCTTCGAAAAATCAAGAATGTCAAAAAAAAGGAGCTAATCTAACCAATTTAGCTCCAACAATAGCTACAATAAAATTCCCAGTGCGCTCAATTATCTTGTTGTAGTTGCCTAAACATGTTGAAATCTTCTAACAATTAAAAGTCTCTCATAGTGTTTCAACCCAAACCACTCCCTTCCCTCGAACGAATCGATAAAAGAAGAGACTTGTAACACTGTCATTAGAATGGCAATCTGAATCTCATTCATTAGAATGGCAATGGGAAAACATTAGTACAACATGATACATTGATACATGCATTTTTCATATTTGTATAAAACAATACATTACAATTTTCCATGATTTCATCTAGTAGATATGAGAAACTAATTATTTGATAAAACTAGAGGAATTACTACATGTACTCCTAAAACACAAATGTTCAAGACAAATTCTTTTCATAATTCAGAGATCAAATTATGCCAATTCTAAACTACAGAATACATTGATTTCAAAAATCAAACAAACCCACAAACCCTTTCTCCCAAAACCAAAAACTAATCACAAAACAAAATTAACATGCAAATGCAAAATAACAGATGAAACAAACAACAACAAAACATAAAATAAAATTTAAAAAAATTAAAAAGCGAATAAATAAAGACAGAAAGAGAGATTACAAGTTGGGAGTGAAAATCGGAGGAAAGAAATTGGAAGAAACGCAAAGACTTGAAATTGGTCCAGTAAACTTCTTCCTCAAATGATCTGAATCCGCCATTTTCACTCTTGTTAACCCCATTTTTCCCCATTAATTAAAATACCACCGAAATGATCACAATTATATTTACTGCAATTCTGCAAATGTAGACTGTAAAGAGATGAAAGGAAGACCCTAGTAAATACGTTGGAAATATTACCATATACTCCCTCCGTCCCTATTTAATTTTCGCATTTTCAATTTCGGTATCCCAAAATGTGTGTTTCCATAAAATTTTCCAATTATATCCTTATTAGAAAATTTTAAAGACATATATATTCTTAAATTTTTCATAAAAAGAAAAGAGACATTATACTACTCCCTTCGTCCCTTTTTTACATTCCTTCTTTAGTTTTTAGGTATTCTGAAATTACATTCCTCTTTTTCTTTTTTAATAAGTATTTTTTTTTTTAAAATATCCCAAATTATCCCTCTTTTTTTCTTATGTAAATAAAGTTCACTCTTATTTTCCCACTCTTACTTTCCTATTCTCACTCCTAAATTTAGATGAATATGATTGATTCTCAATATTCCAATATGAGCATGTTATTGGTCCTTTTTTCTTTGCAAAGAATTAATGACACGACATCATTAAATATTAATCTATCTTTGTTTTACTCAAAGACATCATTTAATGTTTTGTACTTCCCATTGTGTTTTGTTTTATTGTTATTTGTTCTATTATTAGTTCCTTAGTTCTCGTGTAATTTTACAAACAGAAATGTAAAGAAGGGACGGAGGGAGTATAAGATAAAGAGAGTATAATTTTTCCCTAAAAAAAAGTATGATATGATTAGTCTCTCTTATAGTCTTATATCATGATCAATTAAGGGCATGTTCACATTTACTAAAATGAGATGAACTGAACTGAACTGATTGAAGCTAAATTGAACTGAACTAAGCTGAAATGAATATATTATGAGAGAGGAAAATTAGGAGTTGAACTGAACTGAACTGAACTGAAATTATATAAATGTGAATAGGTCCTAAAACCAGCAATTTAAAATCTGTTTTTTAGTCATGAACAAGGTTCTCTTAGGTTCACACGAAAAACTCAAATTAACTACGTAGTATATTCTTCAAAAATAAATAAATTAATTAATTAAATTACGGTGCTAAAAATATTACTATAGCTAAAATTGAGCTACTATATTTGGCAATTTCAAGCACTTTAAATAGTCCATAATAAGGGTGCGTTTTATTCACCTGATTTTTACTTATCTGAACCAATTAACCCTTATTAGAACTTATTTAATAAATTAAACTTGGGTAGCCTTGGTTAACCCTTATCACAACTTATCTGAACTTATTTTTCCTAAACTTATCTTATCTGAACTTATCTAAACTTATTAACCCTTTTAACTTATCAACCCTGAAACAAGTAGAAATAAGGTGAACATAACAGAGCCTAAGTTGTTAAGAGCATCCACAATAAATAGCAACATCTCATTGTAGTTGTAGCTTTGAGTTGCCGCATCATCATTCCTAAACTCCATCATTAAGCCATAACCTTCACAATGGCAAGTTACAACTTTTATTCAATATAAAAAATAATAATTAATAAATAAACAATAAAAAAATGAGAAAAAAAATACATAAATTAAAAAACAAATCAATATAATTAAATAAAGTGGCTTTGGGTGAAGTGAAACTACATAGCTTTGTAGTTTCATCAAAGCTATAACCTTTGTAGCTCCACAACATAAGGCAGCTAGCACTGGTGTAAAAGATAATGGAGGTAAGAGAAGAAGAGGATAAAGGAAAAGGAGAAGAGGAAAGAGATCAGGGATAAGAGGAAACAAAAGGAGAAGGGGAAACTGATTAAGGAAAGAAGAAGAGGAAATAGAGAGAAGGAAGAGGAGAGAGGCGTGAGAAATGAAAAAAATGAGAGAGGGGAAGTGAAGCGGTTGTATGCTTATTAGGGTTAGGGTGTGCTTCTCTCCCCTTTTATATAACCCCTTTTTTAAAAAAAAAAATAGATTTTTTGCGACCGGCATTAGCGGTCGTAATTTTGCGACCGACTCTCAAACGGTCGCAATTGTAGAAATTTGCGACCGACTCTCAAATGGTCGCAATTGTAGAAATTTGCGACCGACTCTCAAATGGTCGCAAATTGTCCAAATTTGCGACCGTTAGTAACGGTCGCAACAATATTATTTTTATTTTGAATTATTTTTGACACGTATTTTATTTTTAAAAACTATTTAAATGCCTTTGCGACCGTTTTATAACCCAAAAACGGTCGCAAATCTGCGACCGCTTTAAAAAATGGTCGCAAATCTGCGACCGCTTTAAAAAACGGTCGCAAATTTAATATTTTGCGACCATTTTCATGACGGTCGTAGAAAAACGGTCGCAAATTGGCCGAATTTTAGTAGTGAACAACCAGTAAGTAGCTATAATTATTTAGAAATTGCAAGCAAGGGGTGGAGGTCGTCAGCTAAGGTGGGGGAGCTTGGCTCTGCCAACTGGTAGTAAATGCCTTAGCTTGGGTGATGGTTTTTTTTTTCTTTTCTTTTTTGTAAAACATTTATTTCTAAAATAATTTTATTATTATTAAAAAGCTAAATAATCAATCATGGTAAAAGATTTTTATTAAGGAAAATGTTATACATAACCCTTAGGGCTACATATAAGCATTAAATTTACATTTGAAAATCGTAAAAAGTTAAAAAAATCATCAAAATATAAACACTAATAACACTGATTTGCGCGTGTTTTTGTCATGAATTCCTAATTTTATACAATTTCCAAGTGTATATTTAATGTAAGGGCTATATATAATATTACCTTTTATTAAAAATAGTTATTATCTTTGGTAATTAAAAAAAAATCCAATGTTACGTACCAATGATAATAACTTTTTAGCCAATTTACTATAGAGAAATTGAAAATTTGGATGTTACTAAGGAGAATTTCCCTAAATTATTTACAAAAATCACCTGATGTTTAGGTTGTAGGTCAATTATTGGTTAAAAAGGTTGAATTATTTCCAGATTTTTGAAAGATTAGACCATGTTGAAAAAAAAATTATAAATGTGTGATGATTCTTGTAAATTATTGCAATAAAAAAAAGGTTACAACCACAAAACCCGATAGACATAAATTCTAGACCTATTAAGATAACAAAGGAAATTCTTTAAACTAAATGTATAACAAAAAAAATTGAACTGATCTTTGGCAACGTACTCTTCCCAAGCACATTTTAAATAATCGAGATGTACCTTTTATATTCTTCCTATTTCATTTTAATTACTAGTAACTTATTAGTTTCAGCTCTATTTCAATTAGTATTCCCAAACTTGGCCGACATCATCCCGATAAAATCATAAAAACAATCAAAATAATTGTATCTTCAAAATAGACACTTGTTTAATTTTTCAAGGCATGCACTTGTATGCTTTTCCTCTACTAGCTATTGTCCATAATTTCCATAACCACAAAAAAATAATAAATATTGATGACCTCCTTAACAATAATTATCTTAATTACTTGCATTGTCTGGAGTGTACATCATCTAGAGTGTATGTCGGTCGTCGGACACATACTCGGGTGTGTCCAACAATCGATGTCGACATCAACGTGTCAAACATTTATGTCCATGCATCCTATCTTCTAATCAATTGTAATATCGTATACCAATAATTGGCCGATGCTATAAAATCACATTAACATATCGAACAAATAATCGCATCTCCACCTTTAAAAAACAACAATACTTAAACTCTCGTAAATCTATTGATTTCTAGTTCAGGTACAAAGATATTAGGGGAAAAGATCGAATATGGCGACGATACAAAAATTGGTGATTATACTTAGCATCATGTTACTAATTGTAACAGCCAACTCTGCCGCAACGACTCCGAAATCAACTAGTAATAATGCTGTTGATGTTGGTGCTGAGATTAAAGATGGTGTTGCAACTAATAATACTTCTAGTTTGTTTAAATTACCTTGTGTTAAGCCTGGTAGATCTTGTAATTCTCACAGGTTAAAATTCTGTTGTCCTCCATTGAAGTGTAGTGCTAGATTTTCTAGATGTTTACCTTAAAATGAGCACGAGTTCTCATGAATTGAGTATATGAAATTATCTGTCATATGATAATGGTTTGATGCTTTTGGTTGAACAAATAAGTGATAAAATAAATCCTTGTTTCTTTGGTGTATATACTTCCTCTGTATTTTATTTTATCCGTTTATCGCGATGTTATAAATTTTACGCTATCCACACATTCATTTGATTGTCTTACAATGGGTATGGTCGTATGGAGTGCCCTTTATTTATTTATTTTTGACGGGCTGGATTTCTTTCTTACTCATCTAATAATGTACGTAGTACATATTTTCTCTGCTATCAAAATATTGCAATACTTCTTATTTATACTCAGTAGTTCATATTCCTAGTTCATATAGAGATATAACAACACTTAAACCTTATGTTACAATTTCGAGGTTTCGGAAATGACATTTTAGTTCACAATTTGGTGTGCTTCTGACAATTTTAATTTCCCTCTGAAAAATACTCATTACACTGCTCCATTTTTTCAGCTAATTTACACTTCATCGTCATAAATTTGTTTTCTTTTAGTTGTTAAATTAAGACAAATTATGGTGGAAAGTGAGTTCGGCATTGTTCTATACTCTTATTTCCATTCTCAAACTCAGTTTATTCTTCTCTAATTTAGGGCCGGCTCTCCTCAACTTAATTTTAGTTTAGTTTAATTTTAATCAGTTGAGTTCACTTTTCTGATTTCTTTTATCTTATAAATAATTTAAGGCCTGTTTTCATTGATTGAACTGATCGAACTGAATTGAACTGAATTGAAATGAATATTTTATAAGAGAAGGAAATTAGGAGCTGAGCTGAACTTAGTTGAACTGAACTGAACTGAACTGAATTTCAACGTAAGAGAACAAACCCTTATTTCAACTCAGTTTAATTCAGTTTAGTTCATATTATATGCTTTGTATATTTAATTGCAAAATTATATTTTTCCATATTTTTTAGTAACAACGTTTGAAAAAATTACAATATTTATATTCTCTTATTTGATCACATTTCTTTAATTATGGAGTAATATTTTAGGCAAAATATATTTGTATGAGTTTGATTCATTTCAATCTAAATTTTCATTTTACACATATCACAATTTAGAAATTCGAATATCAGATAAAGTAAATTTAATCAAAACGTGTCAACTGGAAAATCTGATGAAGTATAGACGTATAGTACAATGTATAATCCAATTAAATCAATTTTTACTACTCCATCCATCATTTTATTAGAGTCCAATATTCCGTTTTTAGCAAATCAAAATTTATGTCCCATTGTTAAAATATTTTTCTTTTTACTAAGTGATTTTTTTTTACAATTTTAACATCATTCTCCTAATTTAATCTCCAAATTATCCTTAATTTTTATTGATTTTTTGTGCCAAATATTTTAGGCATTTATTAATCCACGAACATATGTTCTCTCTCCTTATTTTTCTTTTTCTTTCTAGGTACTTCTTATCCTTTTTGGCATTTATTAACCTCTTTTTTCTTTTTCTCTCACTTGTTATTTAATGCACTTAATGTACTTTGATAGTTCCAATCAAATGGTTTAAGGAATCTACAAAAACCTTAATTCCCGTGAAAAATGAAAATCTAATAAAAGAATGGAGTAGTAATAATTACCTGTAAACCTTATGATGCAATTTCAAGGTTTCGGAAATAACTAGTGAAAACTAAAGAGTTTTTTAGGGCAAAAGATTCATTAATTTTTTACTTTTGTCGTCCCATAATACTTGACATAGTTTCCATTTTCGTCCGTCCCATAATACTTCACACGTTATTAATAATAGAATGAGACCACAAATAAAGAATATTTTCCCACATTTTCTCTCTCCTCTCCTCACCTACCCCACTCTCACTCCCACTCCACTTTATTGTTTTCTTAATATATATATATATAAAAAAATAGAATAATATATACAATAAACAAATATTTTAATAGACAAATATTTTAATGGACCCATTTGTAGTTTTCTTTAAATATGTATCCACCCCAACTTCCCAAGTATTATGGGTCGGTGGGAGTATTTGGTGTTTGTTTAAAAAAGAAAAAAAATTACTCCCTCCGTCTCATGGGCAATTTTCACGAGAATTAATAACATAAATAAAAAGTAGTTAAGTACATTGAAAAAGTGAATTTACATTGAGTATGCAAAAAAGTACAGAGAAAAAATAATAAAAGTAAATGAAAAAAAAAACAAAATTTACATGAAAAAGTTAAATTTACAAATATTGTTGTAAATTAAAGGGATTTTTTTATAATAAAATTGATATTAATGATACTTGGAAAAAACAAATGAACAAGAATACTACTAGGTCTTGCTTCTGACATTTTTAATGAACTATATCCCTAGAAACTACGTATACTTATCCATTCTTCTTTCCCACTTCTATGGAAACGCATCAACTAAATAGAAATAAAGATACATATATTTTATGTCTATCATAGTACTTATCATATGGTTTAATGTTATCTTTGGTTGAATAAAAATGAATTACCTATTGTTTGGTACATTAAGCCATTAAGGAATTATGTCCTCTTAAATATTGGACGGTATAGTCCCCTACTCCCTAGTGTGATTACTATCATAGTATGATATATATGGACATTTTTTTTTTGGAAAGTATGATATGGTCTAAATTCAATCACTATGAGTATTTACTTAAAGTTTAATTAACATTAATGAAGACAAATAAGGAAATAAGAAAAAAAATTAAGGAAATAAATATTTTAAGGATATACTTATAGCACTATATATTTTATTCCTAGTTATTGTATTTAAAATATTTTAATAAAGAAGGGATACTAATACTCTCTCTGTCCTCGTTGATAGTCATTTTTGAAGAAAAATCACGGGAATTAAGGAGAATTAAAGAAAGTACGTTGAAAAGTAAATTTATATTGGGTATACAAAAAAGTAGAGAGTGAAAATTATATTGAAAAGTTAAATTTACACAATTTTTGCAAATGTTAGAGAATTTTGGTAAAAAAAAATAATATTAATGGTACTTGAAAAAAGCAAATGTGACTAACATTTTGGGTGCCCAAAAATGACATAAATGACTATCAATAAGGCACGAAGGGAGTACTCCCTCCATTTTTAAATATTTGCTCCATTTCTCCATGCGCGGAGTTTTAGGAGAAATTTGATAACGTAATAAAATATAGAGGTAGTGGAGTTGGTGGAAGAATAAAAAATTGTAAAAAAAACAAAAGTAGTGGAAAGAATTGAAGGAGAGGGAATATGGAATTAATATTGTTGGGTCCACATGTTGAGAAAAATTAATTAAATATTGTATATATTTTCCAAATAAGGAAATAGAACAAGTATTTAAAAACGCCCGAAAAAAGAAAGTGAAGGAAGTATTTAAAAACGGAAGGAGTATATTTTAAAAAAAAAATTAAAAATCGTTGTTACAAAAAAAAAAATAATAATAAAAAAAAATAAATTTTTTAAAATATTCAAATATTTTGTACAAGATTTTTTAAAAAGGAAAGAGGTGGGAGGTGGGGGTGAGGGTGAGGGTGGTTAACTGGTTATCATGTCTTTCTAAATTCCGAACGAAGTGGTTTATATAAAGTTACCGTTACCTCAACTTTGCAGTAGCAGTGAACCCTTTTGTTATTATCTCTTCAAACTTTAGAAACTTGATTCTTCAAATTGTTAAAAAAAAAATGTTAGGAAGAGATGATGGTAGCGACGCAAGGACAAGGGAGGAGATCATGTATTGGAAAAGTCTGAATCCTTTCTTTAAAATTCATCTTCGTCCTAATTTTCGTTACGGAATTGTAAGTAATACGAGTATTTCTCTTTTCTTCAATTTTATTTATTTGTCTTCATATTTTTATACAAAATTTATATTGTTATTTATGCCCTAGTTTAATTTGGATTTATGCCCATCTTTGGTGGGATTTCTAATTGAATCTGATTTACGTATCTGAATTATTGATTAATGTATTTCAAATACTATCAAGAAGATGTTTGCCTGTTTAATGGTTACAATTAGGGTGTTATTATCTTAGTACAATTTGCTAATTAGTAATTACAAATAGTTAGTACTGAGTAAATTTCTCTGCCTATTAGTTGCCTTTATGTTACTCGAACTCTTCATTTCACCTTAGGTATTTATGTCGAACCCTTGACCCTCGAACATGGTTAGGACACTTACACGCCTCATTTTAGTTCGAAATTATGGATTTTTTATTTTATAAAATAGCCAAGGTTGACACTTGGACACGTACCTGTGTCAGACATGAGTACTCAAATCCGAGTAATATTGTGTAGTCTAACAAATTTATCAAATTGACTTTTTACTTAGAAAATGGGTTCAAGATATTCAAGAATAGGCTATTTTTACTTAGAAAGTTGAGACGTACTTGAGAGCCATGTTCATATGTTCGTAAGAATCTTAATTTTTGTGCAATTCAACAAGTTTTTTCACGTATTATTGATTGATTGAACTGTGCTAAATTTCTGATTCACTCATTCATTGATGTTATACAACACTACAACTCGAGAAATTTCCTTCATGTTTAACATTATGATCAGGAGATTCCCCTGTATTTCTCCGAAAATGTCAAGGGGAAGTTACCTCATAAGGTGGCTCTCAAGGGGCCGAGTGTCAATATCGATACCTGGGAAGTTCAGCTTAAAACACACGACGATACCACTTGGATTGTTGGAGAGGGTTTGGAGGAGTTTGTGTCTGCTTTCGGATTGGAAGAGAATGACACTTTGGTGTTCAAATACAAAAACAATTCCTATTTTAAGGTCAGGATTTTCAATGAGAAAACTTCATGTGAGAAGGAATCATCTCATTTCGTCGTAAAATCAGTTTCTCAGCAATCGCAACAAAGTTGTTCACTACTTAAGGATACCTGTAGCCTAAAGCAGGAAACTATTGGTGAAGTTGAGAAGATAAGTAACAATGATCAGAGTTCAATCTCAAGAGGTTCAAGGGAGAAAAGAGTGTTATTTGAAGACTCTGAATCAGATGATGATAAACCTTTATTCTTGAGATGTATTATTCGTAACAAAGATGCAGTAAAACCAAAATGTCCAACACCATTGGCTTTTTGTAGAGCTGTTAAAAGGAAAACAGGTATATGTTTGCAAGTTTGCTCAATTTTCTTGAATTCTATCAAGTATTCATTGGTGTTTTGAGAAATGAGTTGAAACTTTTATGTTATGGATTGATATTCCTCATTCATTTTATGTTTTTCATGTGGCCTTAGAACCAGAAGTGGAGTATAACTCCTATCCGCGCAATTCATGCAGTCGGGATCAGAAAGAAATGGAGATACAAAGGGCTAGGCAACGTGCTAAAGAGCTGCAAATGCACCGCGAAAATAGTTTTTTTGTTGCCTTGTCAAGATCCCATGTTTATGGGACAATGAAATTGGTGTGTTCATTTGCATCCCCTTAGTCCTTGCACAATTTTTCACTAACATAAGAATAATGTATTAATTTTTATGTCTAGCCATATGATCTGATGTTCTGATGGATATATGCAGGGGATTCCGAAACAGTGGTGGAATGAAGTCGTCAAGTCCCAGTTTGATAAATGTTTGAAACTTCGTGTTAAGGGCAAAGACGAGTATGATCCACATCTGTATGTGTGCTACTATGATAAATCGAATTGTACGGGTACAATCACTACCGGGTGGAGGAAGTTTGTTCAGGAGAATTCATTGTATGAACATGATTGTTGTGTCTTCAGTCTCGCTAAGCCATTGGAAGATAACTACGAGTTTATTTACCTAGAGGTTGAGATAATTCGTGCTATAAATTCATAGGAAGATCAAGATACGATTAAATGGTGAATGGTATAATGCTTGTTTTAACTCGTTTGCCGCAATTTCTTCCTTACTCCCGGAGTACCGTGAGCAAGGTACTCCGGGTTCATAACGACGACGTTTTCAGCTCTTCTTCTAGTGTCCTCTCCTTCTTCCTTAGTTGCTCCCTTTTCTTCATGATATGCTTTGTATCCCTCTATTTTCTTTCAATCGTAATGAATTTAATCCTCTTTTTTTCCAATTGCAAGTATTTTGTTCTGATTTTTCTCTCAATCCAATCAATCACTCTTTTTCCTCTTTTCATCAATTATACTTCTAAATTGAAGATGATTTTTGCGATATTTGATGTGTATCTACGTTGATGTTCGATTTGTATCGGCTTGGCTTCATCCCAAACCATGGCAAGTTGTACGATCCTTGTTGAATAAGGCAAGCTAAGCAGAACCCTTGCCAAAGCTCCCTGGTGACGATAGTGGAACCAACCAGCCTGCTAGGGTGGGGCGGCTCGATTTTGCGCAATTGCAAATTTGATGATTCTTTCTGAAAAGTGACATATAGTGTAATCTAAATAACAAAACGTCAATTAAAAATAACATGTGTTTTAACAGTTAATTTGCAAGTTATATAAATAACATGTTTCTTTTTATAAAGTAACATAATGTTTTATAAGAATTGGAATAATATTCCAAGTTATAAAAATAACATTCTTCTATTTATAAAATAACATTTATTAATTCTAAAATAATGTAATAAAAAACATTTATCAATTTGTTCTAAAATAATATTTTAAGTTATAAAAATATTATGTTTCTAAAGTCATAAAATATTACATAACATTGAGTAGTTCTAAAATAACATGTTCAATAACAATACATATCATGTTCATGGAATAATATGCTTCTATTTTATGTTTTTATGTTATTTCATTTTGTTAACTTGTTATTTCAAGAAATAAATTATACGTCCTCTTCTTTTTTCTTTTTTTTTTTTTTTTTTTTTAAGTTGGGTTTCCAGCCTATTTATTAGATTGGGTTGGAGTATAATACTAGGTACTCCAGGAATACCTAATACTAATTGCTCTTTTGCTTTTTGGATGTATAGTAGTAGTAGATTAGTAGCTCTAGTAGTGCACTTTTGATATTAACACAAGTAGATGATGTAGGTACAAGAACCCTCAATTTTTGGTTTGAAACGGATCTCGTGCATCCGTGCAATGTATGTAATGTGTGTTCCTAGAGAGGATCTAATGAACTATAAAGATACCGTATGAAATGTGATCATTATGATGAGAAGTATTTAAGGTCTTTTCTCATTGACTGAACTCAGTTGAACTGAACTGAACTGAACTGAAATGAATATTTTATAAGAGAAGGAAACTAGGAGCTGAACTGAACTGAACTGAATTGAATTTCAACGTAAGAGAACAAACCCTAAATTTATGATACTTCGTAATACTCGTAAAATCTTTGTGTTCAAGTTCTTCTGATTGTTTTTGCTCCTGTGGAACAAAGATAATGTAATGTAACAAGCAAAATGTGATTAATGTTTGTTCCACAGGATAGTGTATATGAATTTGATACATCATACATGAACTTATAATTAAAACTAATCAAATATTTTACACTATTCATCCATTTCTTTGATTATTGGAGTATCTTTTATCACATTTTCTAATATACGAAGCATATCAGTATTAATTATTAAACACATATAACTAACTATGAAAAATATTGTTAAATTAGTTTCAATGCATATGAAATACTTATATGCAAGATACGTAGTTAAATAAATACACTATGTATAAACTTCGTTTGAAATAATGCATTGACAAAAGATTAACTTTACTTTTTGCCAATTTCGAGCTCAATTTGGACACTTGAAAGACAAAAATGATCCCTAAAATCTTAATAAAAAAATTTATTAGCACGCAAATTAAGTAAAAAAGTGGATTCGGTGGCAATTAACAAGTTAGTACAAAATTTTACAATTTTTTTTAATAAAAATGGCTGATATTTGCAAAAGACTCCGTGTAAACTTTAAAATTTAAATGGCAGTTTCAAGACAAAAAGAAAAAGACAGAAAAAAAAACCTTTTCATTTGCAATGACAAATTTTCCAATGTTAAAAGTAATAATGAAAAGGAAAATTGTAAAAAGACTTAAATTCTTCGCATATACTCCATACTTCCTTCAATTTTTTAATATTACGAAGTAATTATTTTCATTTGCAATCTTGTAATCAGAAAATAGTTACTTGGTATATATGTGATATATTTTATTAGATGTGTCTCGAACATATTTAGGTAACTCCAACAAACTAAGTTAAACCAACAACAATTAAGTTACTCTCTCCGTGTTTTAATAAGTGTTACACTTTGAGTTTTAGGCAATTTAATTGACTTTAATAAAATAAGTGATAAGTGGAGTAATTGAAGTATGGAAAATTTCCAATTACAGCCATTTTAAGTATGATTTTCGAAAATTGCAACCATTTAAAAATAAAATTGCAAATTGCAGTCATTTTAAGTTTGATGTTTGCAAATTGCAACCATTTAAAAATAAAATTGCAAATTGCAGCCCAAAGTACTAAAAAATTATACTCGGGCCGTAAATTGCAATCCAATTCAATTTTTTCATAAATTTACGTGCCAAACAATGTTTCGTTAAAGTCTTAGGGTTCATTAAAGTGCTTAAGGGACCAAATTGATGAGCTCGGAATTGTCAAAAAGGAGTGTGGACACTATTAGTGAGTAAAAATATATTGCTCCCTTCGTCCCCCGAAACTTCGACTCTTATGACTAAAATTTAGTCTGAAAATGAATATCTCATTTGTATTTAAATGCCTTTTAATTTGCAATAATAATTGTGTAAAATTAGCTTCTTTAAGTATTTTTTTTTTTAATTTCATGTACTTTTATTGCTTTCTCTCTATCTTTTTGCACATCCATGTAAATTTACCTTTCAATGTGATTTTACTCCACTAATTTTATTTAAGTTTCTTAATACTCTTGAAAAATGTCCAAAGGGGTCGAAGTTCCGGAGACAGGAAAAATTAAATTGTAAGGGATTTTTAAAAGAGTTTTAAAAGTTACAGAAGACTTTGACTTTAGGAGTATAAGGCTACATTCATTTCCTTTTTTAAAAAAAAAGGCTACATTCATTTATTATGGAGTAGTAATGGAGTACCTAATTTATTTGCTACTATATGTCTTAATTATATTCAAAATGATGAAAAATTACAAGTATTCACTTAATTCACTATTTCCAAACTTGTCAATTCTCATATAGCTCACATAATTTCTTAGTAGAAAAGAAAAGAAGCAGAATATGGAAGGAAGGGGTGATTTTAGTGAAAGTGGCAATACTAAGAAAACAATAGAGGAAACTATGTATTGGAAACACTTCGACACTGTGCGTTTTTCTGTTCAACTTCCCACGGATTTCAAAACCCAACTTGTAAGTCTTTTTCATCATCTACTAGTTTTACCATATTTTATCTGAGTGACTATACTGTCTGTTTGGGTCCAATTTAGTCCAATTGGGCCTGGTCACTGAATGATCCAATTAAAAGCCCAAGGTTAAGGTTCAACTCTCCAAATGTGCTAAAGTCAAAAATCAACATCCTCAAAGCCATGTCAAGGTCAGTCAACGGCCCAATCAGCTTGGCCCAGCCCAACTGACTTCCGGGCCCAATCCGCCTCCTTCATTAGCCAAGGTATAAAAGCCAACAATTTGGTCAATTCTTGGTAAGACAAAAAAGCCTCAAGCAACTAAACTCTTGCACAGCTTTCTCTCTCTAATATACTGACTTAAGCATCGGAGGGGCCTTCCTCGGCGTCCCCCCCGAGGCTAGTTTACGTGTATTTGTTGTGCAGGAAACCCTCGGCTCCTGCGTCGTTCGGACCGAGACCAAGTTCCCTCAAGATAAAAGGATCTTCCGAGATTCGATTGTTTTCATCCGAAACAATTTGGCGCCGTCTGTGGGGAACGCTACTAAATTTCGCGTCAGTCATCAAACACTCCGGCAGTCGCCATGACTAAGAGTGGAAAGAGTTCCAAGAAGGCTAAGAAGGGAGGAGGCCGGATTACGGTGAGGGAACGCCAGCCGGTTTATCCCTCCCCGGAGCAAGCCTCTTCCGAATCGGAGGCCCCCATTTCTCCGGAAAGGGAAGCCTCAAGAGGTCCTAGCCTCCAGGAGGAGAACACCTCGCACCACACTCGGCAGCCGGGGCCATCCCCGAGACCGAGTGGCTCAGGTGCGAGGAACTCCCCGCCGCGCCATAGCGTGCAATCCAGGTCACATCCGCGGGAGACTCCTCCCTCCGGACCCTCCACCGAGGAAGTGGCCAGAGCAGTGGCCATCTGCATGGAGTTCCTTAAAGCTCAAGGGGCTCCAATCCAGATGCCTGATGATCACCAGCCGAGAAACCTGAAAAGGAGGATCGGTCAGGATGATGGTGGACAAGTTCCACCACATAGAGAGCTCGGCCAGAGGTGGCGAGGGGACACCCGAAACTCCAGTAAGGAGAGGAGGAGGAACCCTCAACCCTCTGACCACTCTGAAGCTCAGAATTCCATGGGGCCCTCCAAGGACCCGGAATTCGCCCGCCAAAGCGTTCACGAACGCTTGGGTTCGAGGGAGGTGAGTGTGCATAGCCGCCTCACCTTCCCAGAGGATACCGGACCCCACCCAACCTTGTCTCAGCCGGGGACGAAAACCACTTCCACCTCTGAGAGAGGAGGGAGCGAGGTCCCTGAGGCCGGGTACAAGGGGAAGGCGGTCATGGTTCCATCGAACTCGCCCTTCCAGAAGTGGATTCTGGAAGAGCATGTGCCAACGGTCAAAATCCCGGCACATATTACTTACGATGGTACCTCAGATCCTAAGGATCACATTGCCTCTTACGAGGGGCACATGTATCTGAACCCGAGGTCTGAGGCTACCTGGTGTAAATACTTTCCTACGACCCTCAAAGGTGTTGCCCAATCCTGGATCACCAAAGGGCTCAAGGAAGGCTCCATAACCGGTTGGAACGACCCCTCCAACAAGTTCAAGAGCAAATTCTCTACGGCCAACCGCCGAGAGAAGACCACTGCAGAGCTAATGAGTCTGCAGCAGGCGGAGGACGAGAGCCTCCGCGACTATCTGACTCGCTTCAGCAACGAGTCATCCGGAATCACAAGCCTGGATCAAGGCCTGGCCGTGTTCGCGCTACGGAACGGCCTCCAAGCTGGAAAGTTCCCGGACTTCATGGTCATGCATCCC